TGGAATTCTTCAGGGGTAAAGGATTTTGAGCTTGGAATTCTTCAGGGGTAAAGGATTTTGAGTTTGGAATTCTTCAGGGGTACAGTGTTTTGAGCTTGGAATTCTTCAGGGGTAAAGGATTTTGAGTTTGGAATTCTTCAGGGGTAAAGTGTTTTGAGTTTGGAATTCTTCAGGGGTAGAGGATTCGAGCTTGGAATTCTTCAGGGGTAAAGAGGTTTGAGATCGAAATTTTTCAGAGTTTGGAATTCTTCAGGGGTAAAGTGTTTTGAGTTTGGAATTCTTCAGGGGTAGAGTGTTTTGAGTTTGGAATTCTTCAGGGGTAAAGGATTTTGAGCTTGGAATTCTTCAGGGGTAAAGGATTTTGAGCTTGGAATTCTTCAGGGGTAAAGTGTTTTGAGTTTGGAATTCTTCAGGGGTAACGTGTTTTGAGTTTGGAATTCTTCAGGGGTAAAGTGTTTTGAGTTTGGAATTCTTCAGGGGTAAAGTGTTTTGAGTTTGGAATTCTTCAGGGGTAACGTGTTTCGAGTTTGGAATTCTTCAGGGGTAAAGTGTTTTGAGTTTGGAATTCTTCAGGGGTAAAGTGTTTTGAGTTTGGAATTCTTCAGGGGTAAAGGATTCGAGCTTGGAATTCTTCAGGGGTAAAGAGGTGTGAGATTGAAATTTTTCAGAGTTTGGAATTCTTCAGGGGTAAAGTGTTTTGAGTTTGGAATTCTTCAGGGGTAAAGTGTTTTGAGTTTGGAATTCTTCAGGGGTAACGTGTTTCGAGTTTGGAATTCTTCAGGGGTAAAGTGTTTTGAGTTTGGAATTCTTCAGGGGTAAAGGATTCGAGCTTGGAATTCTTCAGGGGTAAAGAGGTGTGAGATTGAAATTTTTCAGAGTTTGGAATTCTTCAGGGGTAAAGTGTTTTGAGCTTGGAATTCTTCAGGGGTAAAGGATTTTGAGCTTGGAATTCTTCAGGGGTATAACTATGAAAAACATGTATCCTCGACAGGGGGGGTACGGATATTAAATGGAATAGCCCATTCCTGGATTGTGGCGAGAAGCAGTACTTGTTATTACTTGAGAGACCTCTCGACAACATTCTTCTTTTGCAGTGTTTGGATGATATTATTTATGATTCTACTGGCAAAGCACACGAAACTCTTTTTCCAAACCATACATTATGCAGCAGTGTGCCACATCTTATGAAATTATTGTCATCTTCTCGGGACAGAGCTATAGTTATGTTCATTCTGAGTTCTATATTCTCAGCACGCGCTTTGAGAATTGCTTTTGGTTTTCGTGAGCATATCGTCAATAAAGCGGTAGAAGATATTCAGAGTTTTGTAATAATTATAATTTTTTTTTTTAATTCGCCCAATTTAATTACAAAAAAATTTTGATTATTATATTTACATGTTTATTATTTAGGGCTAGAAGCCTACTAGAAACCATCAAAAGGCTTTTGATTAAGACCCCTAGTTACATTTTAAATTACAAAATAAGGATCCTATTTACAAACAAAACTAGGTGACAGTGCTTCAAGTGAGGTGCAATATGATAAAGTATTTACATATAGTGCTACAGTAAATAAAATGTTATGATCACAAAAGTATATTATTATTAATTTATATAAAAATTTGATATTGCAGATGTTGTTTTGGTAGTAGTTTTTCAGTTATTCAGTATGTAGTATTTTTTCGACTTTTTCTTGAATATATAGTAAGATGCTATATTTTTAAAGTTTGGGTCAAGATTATTCCAGATATCAACTCCCTTGTTAGAGAGTGAATGTTTAACATAGTTTGTTCTTTGATAAGGCTTATGAAGTTTCATAGAATTGTAGAAGAACTAGAGAATCAACAACATTTTATATCAAATCAAGCTGAGAATTTGCTGAGCCAAACAGTTTCTCGCTTGGAAGAAGAAATAAATTCAAGCGACCGACGACCAAACAAGAGGGTTCTTGAAGACAGCGAAGATGACATGGAATTTGAAATTAACAACAAAAGAGCTAGACTTCAACATCTGAAAACAAATAAAGTTGCTGTCAAGGAGAGAATGGCGAGAAGACTTTTTCATAAGTGGAAAAGGTCTTTAAGATCCCAGAGGGGAAAAGGGCAAGGACGTTATAGAATTGATCGTGGAGCAGAAAGTGCGATCAACGATATTCTTTATGAGCAATCGAAAGCCCATAATCGAAGGTACGTTTAAG